CCCCCCCCTTTTTTTTCTTTTGTCTGCCCCTAACTTTTTAAGTGGAGTTTGGATAATTGACCAAGCATAACCTCAGGTTAGTTGATTCTATTTTATAAATTGCACGTATTTGGAAATTGGAATGACAACATGTATGTTAGTGTGACTACCTTGTGATTAGGGAAAATTTCGAGGGTAGTTTTTATAAATTTTCCTTAAATAATAATGTTGTGACTAACATACAGACATGACAATAAGATTATATTTGGAAAGGAGAACATGCAACATATATAGAATTTTTAGTATTTTTTTGACATGGCTGATTGATATCCCACTCTTCTTCTTGGCAATGTAGCTCTCTCTCCGTATTTGCATTGCATCCATTATACCTCAGAGTGCAAGCCCTTTCGAAAAATATTTCAGAGGATGTCATGGTATGATCTTTGTTCCTACTTAGTATTTGAACTTAAATAGTATGCTTAGTCACTTCCTATATTTTTTACGTGTAATGGGTTAAGTTTCCCATCCCAGTATAATTTGTTCTTTTTATCTCAGCAAGAGATACAGAAGATGAAGAAACAGCTGGACAAGAAGGTACTTCTTTAATTTTCCAGTGATATCTGTTTGAAGAATTTGTAGTCTCAAATGGCACTTGGTTTATAAAATGTCTGCCTTAAAACGGTTCTTGAAGATTTCACGTGGTTTATGACTTAAATATCATCTTATCTATTGCGTTAAACACTGTCTGTCATGTTTTGGTGCGTACCAGCTTATTCGACAAATTATAGAAGTAGAATGAGAACACTAAGTAATGCAAAAAGTAGCGAAAATTATAAAAATTACCTGTGTCTTAGCTTAATTGTGTAAGATTATAATTACTATTGACAGACATCCCGTTGAGGTGATACAAATACCTCCTTTAGATTTGTACATCCATGAGGTGGGTTATTTAGTATTTTTTTTTTTCAAAATATGTTAAATGCACTCAATTTCAAGTGTAGCGCTTGTCATATATACTACTTACTTTGAGTGGATATATCTTTTTAGTGAAACATTAAATTGGATGAAAGTTGTTTTTTTTTTTTTTTTTTTTTTTTTTCAGAATAGAAAATATGCTGTCCATGATTTTTGTTAAAGAAAATAATTATTTTTTTATACTTGCAGGATGTTGATTATGAGGCTACCATGGCTGCAAAACTCTCGATTGCGAAGAAGATTTATTCTCAGGAGAAGGAAATTGTATTTAGTTCGGTTGCGTACCAGAATTTCTTCTCCAAGAATCAGGTTAAGAGTGTTTACCTATTCTGCTTGTTACCATTTTATTAAATCTACTAATTCAAAAGTCAAAAGTAGTAAACTCCTTTATCGAACTTGTACATTGCTTGTTCTTGCTTTAACAGGATTGGTTGAAACCGTATGCCGCCTTCTGTTTCCTAAGGGACTTTTTTGAAACATCTGACCACAGTCAATGGGGCCGTTTTTCTTTTTTTTCAAAGGACAAGGTTGCTCGGTTATGCATTTATTTTTCTTTTCTTAAAATCTACTATGGTATCAAATTCCCTTAAAACTAACACTTGTTTTCTTCAATTTTCAGCTCGAGAAACTAGTTTCTGAACGAAGCTTGCACTATGATATTATCCGCTTTCATTATTACATTCAATTCCATTTACATACCCAAGTAAGCTGATTATCTTTACCCGGTGGTGTTATACTTTTTTTATTTTTAACTCCAAATTTAAAGCACTTAGTGAGTATATGTAAGTCAATAATAGTTATCGGAAGCTGCTGAGTATGCAAGAACAAAAGGAGTCGTTCTAAAAGGCGATCTTCCAATAGGAGTGGACCGTAATAGTGTGGATACTTGGGTGTACCCGAACCTTTTCCGGATGAACACTTCAACTGGGGCACCTCCCGATTATTTTGATAAAAACGGACAGAATTGGGGCTTCCCAACTTATAACTGGGAAGAAATGTCCAAAGACAATTATGGCTGGTGGCGTGCTCGTTTGACACAGGTCACCATTCTGGAATTTCTTTGAAGGGTTTTCGTTAAAAAAGTTTTGCAAGAATTTATGGCATGACTTTTAATATGTTATCAATGGCAAATTTTCGAGTAAAAAGTAATAGAGAAAGTGAATGAGTTTGTTTGAATGGGATTTTCTTTGGAAGTTCGAGGGAAAAAAATCTTTATAGTTTTTAAGACATATTTTTCGCATATACTACCTGAATATTTTCAAATTTAGCATGCTTTGTGGTTTTGTGAACAGATGGCGAAGTATTTTACAGCATATAGGATTGATCATATACTCGGTTTCTTCCGAATCTGGGAACTTCCAGATCATGCAATGACTGGTCTCTGTGGGAAATTTCGGCCATCCATTCCTCTAAGCCAGGTAACCGTGATTAATTTTGAAAAAGGTTAGTTGTCAGTGAAATTTTGAGTTTATATTAAAATAATATTTAAAATAAAATGATTAAAGTTGATTTGATGTAAAAGTAGGAGAGATGATGTGAAGAGATGATTAGTTATAATTATGTGAGTGAATGAATAGTGAATTAAAAGTTGATGTAATGTGTAAGAATTATTGATTGAGATTATTTAAATATATATTAATATTATTGAGAATAGTGAGGTTGGGTTAAAATTGAGTTAGATCTTGAGTATAAAATCCAGTATAGGTTCATGGTTTTGTCTTTTATCGCCATGTTATTATTATTATTATTATTATTATTATTATTATTATTATTATTATTATTATTAGTTTACCAATTTTATTGTAGGAAGAACTTGAAAGGGAAGGACTATGGGATTTCAATCGCTTGAGCCAACCATACATTATACAGAAACTGTTGCATGTATAGTATATTCCATAAGCCTTTAAGTTAGTTTTTTTTTTTTTTT